CCACTAGCATCGTCTCTGATCGCGATCCCCGCTTTACTTCTCATTTCTGGCGTGGACTCCATGAGATCTATGGCTCCGAGCTCCGCCTCTCCTCCTCCTATCACCCCCAGTCAGATGGACACACCGAGGTCACCAACAAAACTCTTGGGAGTATCCTCAAGAAGTTTGTTGAGAATGACTTTGATTGGGATCTCCACCTTGCCTACGTAGAGATTGCTTATAACCATGCTATTTCACCTGCCACTGACATGTCTCCCTACTACTGTGACTTGGGATACTATCCTCGTGTCCCATCTGACCTTCTTCGTCCATCTCAGATTCATCCCGACACCAAATGCCCTGCCCTCGATGACTCGGTATAGGAGATGGATGCGCTTCTTAGCAAGGCTCGTGAGAGCATTGCTGACTCCCAGGCTCGCATGGCCACTCGCGCTAACCGCTCTCGCATCGACCATCCCTTCAAAGTTGGCGACGAGGTTCTTGTCGAGGCACGTCACTTCCAGCCTGAAGTTGACACGCTTCTGAAATTAAGACGTCGATATATTGGACCATGCACCATTCTTGCACCCGCCGGACCCAACCATGACTGTCCGGTGAGCTTCAAATTGAAGCTCCCCGATTCCACGTACCGCGCTAACTTACATGACGTGTTCCATGTATCTCTTTTGCGCCCCTTCAGACGGCATCCTCCCGAGTTCCATGGTCGACCTTACCCTCGCCCCTCTTCCATCATCATTGAGGGTCACGAGGAGTTTGTCGTCTCTCATATCGCATCCCGGCGTATGACTGATAGTGACCCTCCCCGCCTCGAGTATCTCGTTCGATGGAAGGGTTACCCTGACGAGGAGTCTACTTGGGAGCCTCTTGAGCACCTGAAGCATGCTATGACTTTCGTGCATGCTTACCATCGTGTTCACCCTTTCCCTTCATCATCCTCCCCCCTACTTCTCGTCCTTCTACTACTGACCCATCTACTTATGCGACCACTAACATTCTCCCTCCTCCATCGATGGGTCCTCCTGCTCCACCGGTACCCGCCTCAGGTCCTCCTTCCCCTGTGGATGTGGTTCCGCCTGTTGTTGCAGTTGAGTCCTCACGCCCTCAGCGTACCCATCGACTTCCTTCTCGATATCGTGACTGATCTTACCCCCCTATATGCTCTCTATCTTTTACCATTCCTTGACACTTATGCAGCAGCTCCCGGTTTCCGCTTCTACATTGGGCTTCTACATCGACTTCCGACCTCAGTGCTTCTCTTCAGTACCAGAGTACATCTCGCATTGTTCCGGACTTCTACAGGGTTTCTGCATTACTCCTACTTCATCCTGGCTACTTCGACTCGACTTCAGTTTGGAGACTCATCAGTTGGACTACTTCACTTTTTCGGCTACGGAGTTCCCATCATTCCGATGTATCCTTACCCTCGAGTTACCCTCCAGTCGCATGATGACCCCTATTTTCCCTGTCTATGTGGGTGTGTCCGCTTGCCGCCCTTCTGCCTTGCCTTATGCTGCTCCTCTGGAGTGTACGTTTTCTTTGCTCGCGGCTTTTGGCCACATGTCTATGCCGGCATAGCCCTCTCTCTCCTTCCAGGCTCACCTTATGTGTGCTCCCTTGTTTGAATGCCCTTCCCCTTTCAGCTGGCGGTACCCGTTTGATGGTTTCCATTGAGCCCGGTGTCGTGTTGTTACTCTCCCTCTGAGCCTGATGACCCTTACCTGGTTGTGTGGGTGCCCCCTTGGGGTTTACTCTGAGAGCTGTACCTGCTGCCTTCCCACCCATTCCTACCTCTGCCATGCGACTGAGTTCCCTTCTCCTTTGTTCACGTATTATCATTGTGTACAGGGCACGTGAGACTGTGCCACATTGGTTTTCGACTTAGGACATTGGTTTAGTTATTCTTTGGCCTTTAGGGCCCTGGGGTTAATTTATATTCAGCCTATTTGGCTCATGAGACATTTTTCTCTTTCTTGGCCGACACAGGTCAGACATTTTTCTCTTTCTTGGCCGACACAGGCCAGACATTTTTCTACTTTTTGGGTTGACATAGACCAGACATTGTTGTATAGATTAGGCTTGAGGCTTAGTCTGCATTGCATCCCTTTTCCTGCATGGAGCCCGCTCCGCATCTAGGATTGTTTCTTTTGCCGTTTCTTTTGGGTTTCCGCTATTTCAGCGGATAGCGTGTTTGATGTATCGCTTGATCCATTCACAGGTCCGAGGATCATGTAGCGGTACCTCTACGGCCCGGCAGTGAGGCCGGACCAGTTTCAGGTCGTCGGCCTGACCCTGGTCCAGTACCAGGTTGCTCCGTACCCGGACCTAGGCCGGTATATCACTTCGGCCTAGACCCAGGGCGGGAGGTTGGTTCATTCAGTTGTTCATTCGCTCTTCCATTGAGCCGGACTGGACCTTCAATCAGCTGCTGCTTCTTGTGTGTGTCCATCTCCTCTCTCTCTCTCTCTCTCACCATCTCCACACGTGCCCTCCGCACATGCGTCACTCGTGCGCTATTTTTCTCCGGCCACGGGGCCTCCATCCCGCGGCTCCCTTTAATTGTCGTAGGTGGCCCCCATGTCGGGCCCTTATTTTCTAGCGTCCCACGGCCTCCGGGGCCGTCCACCTCTTGACTTCCTCATTCTTTTGTCGCCGCCGCGCCGTGTTCGCCAGGTCAATGGCCCCTTGGCCTTGGTCTTGCCGAATTCCGACGGCCCTCCTGGCCTCACACTACGTTTTATATGCCCCTGTCCTTGCGCTCACTTTCTTGCCGTTGCTGGTTCTTTCCCCGACGGTTCCCAACCCAGGGCATCATTCCTTCCGACGGCCTAGTCCTTTGTCTTTTCTCTCTCTTACCTCCTTACTCCAGATTTATGTGTCGTGCACATTCTGGTTGTATACGGTCTCTCGAGTGACGGGATGTTATTCGGGACCCACCAGTCGTGACACCGGCCCAGCACTTATATATATATATATGTATATATATATATATATATATGGTCATCCTTCTATTGGTGGGGAGCATCACCTGTTGGAAACCGGGTTCAGCGCCCCTTTGAAACATTTGACACATTGCTGATAAAATCTGAGAATATTGAGAGGTCTGAGACTGCACAAGACTGCAAGATCTACCTCGAAAGAGGGGAAAAAAAAAAAAAAAAAAAAAAAGATCTACCTCTGGCCATGTCTTTCACTTTCATGAGCTTGCTTGCCGCCCTTCCCAAGCGCACTTGCCCTGAATACCCTCCCAATCTCCTCGCGGCAACTGCCCTGAGGCTTATCCACTTACCGTCATCCCTCCGGTCTGTCCACGGAGCCACCTCCCAGTCTGCTGCATTCCTTTTTCTTTTGCGAAAACTAGGGTGCAGTCAAGGTTTTCATTTGTAGATGCGTTTCAGTCACGGTTTCCTGAATTTTGCTCCAAAGTGAGGATAATCGTGAATGTACACACACACACACACACACTTTCACACACACACAAGCCCCAAGGCCTCAGGGGTTCACCTGAGTCAGAAGTGCAACAACTTACTAATAACTTAATCCCGACTAGTACATTGAGGCCTTTTTTCCGTGCCCAGCATAATGGACTACTAAAGTTAACTGAACATTGCATTGCATGATCTACACATCCACCGCTGATATATATATATATAGATATATATCAGTAAACATTGTACCATTTGCACTGTTGTGAACTTGGTTGTTTGCCGATTTTCAATTCTTCACGAACAGTGGAACACTCGCACACAGAAATCACACGCACGCCCATTGTTGCATACTGTAACGGTGCAGACCAGAACAGGAACCGACCTCTCAATACAAAGTACAAGATAGCGTAGCGGAAGACTTAGATACCAATGATGCGAACAATCAATATTGCAATGCAGCCCCGAACATACATCATCATCATCATTCCATGGTGTGAAGGGGTCTGGCGCTCACACATGAAGAATGCGCCAGCCCCAACCATACACAGACGAAGAAGAGGGGGGTTAGAAGAAGAAGAGGGGAAGATGGGAATGTCGTCAACACCAAGTCTTCGGCACAGGCCCAAATAGTCCCTCGTCAGAATGTCTGAATCCCAATGTTATGTCTGGATCCAATGTCGTCAAGTCTCAAGTCACAACTCTCTCTCTCTGTAGTAGTCCGCTGGTACTGAGAAGTCAGGTGGTGAGAAGGGAAGAAGAGATGGTGGACTTAGAAGAGG